TCTACAGACTGAGCCGGCCAGGCACCCCAAGAAACTTAATTTTGTTGTTGTTGTTGTTCACTGTAAATATATATATATATATATATATATATTTTTTTTTTTTTTTTCCCTTGCGGGGGAAGAGAGGGAGAGAGAGAATCTTAAGCAGTCTCCACACTCAGTGCAGCCCAACACAGGGCTCGATCTCATGACCCTGAGATCATGACCTGAGCCAAAATCAAGAGTCAGAGGCTCAAATGATTAAGCCACCCAGGCACCCCGACCCCCCCACCTTTTTTTTTATTATATATATTTTTTAAGAAGGTAAAATAAATCCCTTAAAACATGAAAAGCAGGGGCGCCTGGGTGGCTCAGTCGTTAAGTGTTTGCCTTCGGCTCAGGTCATGGTCCCAGGCTGCTGGGATCGAGCCCCGCCTTGGGCTCCCTGCTCAGTGGGAAGCCTGCTTCTCCCTCTCCCACTCCTCCTGCTTATGTTCCCTCCTTCACTGTGTCTCTCTCTGTCAAATAAATAAAATCTTTTTAAAAAATAAAATAAAATAAAATCTTTAAAAAAAAAAACATGGAAAGCAGTACAGGGAATCCAAAGGGTATTCAGACACCAGTTGGAGCAAGTTAGCGTTGCCTACTAAAAGATCAGAGATAGAACAAAATACCTTCCAAACCAGCACAGGAGAAAGGAGGACAGACTGGGAGTTCGTAGGCAGAATGCCAGGACAAGCCAACTTACAAACTGCCCTTCGTCGATGCCTATGACAGCCACACCCAGGGCTTCCTGGGCCACGTCCCGGAGCAGGCAGGCTGGTAGCGCCTCCATGGTGTTCCTGGGGAGAGAAAGCCAGCACATGAACAAGGCAAGGGAGCGGAAACCTGGACACAGGGGCCAGGGGCCAGCTCCCGTGACCACCCTACCCCCAAAGCACACTGCACTGTTGGGCTGGAGCTTGCAGTTAGTGCCTGTGGGAGGCATTTGGGGAGAATAAAGGCCCATGTTCAGAAAAGCAGTCATTCAACACAAGTTATTTCCCTTGATGCTCTGGACTAGAAATTGGCAATGCGCGATACAAAGCTTAACGGAGACTCAAAGGCTCCACTTCTGTTCAGTGTGGGTCAGGGCAGGAGAAATGCTTTAATTTCTTTTTTAAATGAGAAAAAGGACACACATAACTACAACTCAGGCTGCCTTCTAGCTGTCTTTCTATCAATGCCGTCATAAAATATAATTTTTTACTTCTTTCTTTTTATGGAGGAAGGGGCCCACGCAAGGCAAAAGTGCCCCGGAAAGTCCACCGTGGTCCTGGGCAGAGCATGAGCACCAGACTCAGCCCTGTGTGTCCCAGCAGAGATAAGCCTAGGACTCCAGCCAACATGGCCAGAGAAGAACTCAATCCACTTGGCTCTTCTGGCAGATCGAAGGATTTCACCATGATCACAGAGCTATTAACTGGCAGAGCCAAGACTCAAATCTAAGGTCATACTGTTGTTGCCCTGTGTGGCCAACGGGGAGAATATTATCCAGAAGAGTTTGAAAGCCAAAGGCCGAATGTGGGAAGCTTCCACCCCAACCTGCCTCCACACCCAGGGCCATTTCTGAAGAGGGATCCTATTCTCTGTCCTCTGTCTTTTTAAACAGAGTCTGTTTTTCTACAATGAGTTTTTTTTTCCGTGTTCATTTTTCCTGCTCCTCAACTAGCCTTCTGAGGGGCTGGTACTTCATTTTTTTTTTTTTTTTAAGATTTTATTTATTTATTTGAAAGAGGGAGCACACAAGTGGGGGGGAGGGGCAGAGGGACACATGGACTCCCTGCTCCCCAGGACCCCGGGACCATGACCTGAGCCAAAGGCAGACGCTTAACGACTGAGCCACCCAGGCGCCCCCTGTAGCTGTATTTAGAAAAATAAAATACTTTACAACCCCTGCACAGTTATTATCTTGCTATAATTCTACTCCAAGATCTGGGAAGAGCATGAGATGGTATTGCCTGAATTTTAAATTCCCCCTTCCCTCCCCAAATAGAGAAAACCACAGGGTGGGCAAGGGCAGCGTCTCCGGAGCCCTGTCGCTCCCACCAAGGGCTCGGTCCCAGCCGTGGTCTGTCCCAGCCTCCGCAGCCCGAGTTGGAGGGCATCTCTGCCACTCCGGGCAGAGCTCAGACGGGCCCCTGCCCTCCTGACTTCTCGTCCCGGGACAGGGCTGCCTCCTCTGCTCTCACTGTCCTCCCTGGATTCACCCCCACTCAGCAGCAGCGGAGGCAGACACCGTGTTTCTGGGGAGAAGCGAACCGGACCGCATAAATGACCAGCATCAGACAGCACGGCCGGAAGCACCTGTCACTCAAATCCTGACGCTTAGCCCCGAGTCCCAGGCACTGTCCACCCCACCACCCGCCTGGCTTCAGAAACCCCATGCTCCCAGCCCATGGCCACACACTGGGCCATCCCGAGGTTCCAAGGCTGCATGCACAGCATGGCTTTGCCGCTGGGGGCTCAGGTGGACAAGTCCCAAGGACAGAGATCATGTCCCGGGCTCAGAAATCTCAGGCCCCAATCTGCAGCCAAGGAACAGGGAAGAGGCAAACTAAATTTAAGCCTCCCTCCCCACCTCAGGTGGCAAAGGCAAATGTCTGCAGGGTGCAGGCAGATTAACATAAACCCGGAATGCCTGAAGGACGCATGATGACCAAGAGTGAGCTGGGGCTAAGACAACTACAAAGTTAAATGAAAAGAAACATCAGGCTCAACAAAACCAGTTTTGCAAACCGCACAGAGGTAAGCATGGCACTACTGACAATTGGGGCGGGATCAGTATTTGTCGTGGGGCTGTCCTGTGCATTGTGGGATGTTCAGCAACATCCCAATGCCCCTCCCCCACTCCAGTTGTGAGGACTAAAAATGTCCCCAGACGTTGCCAAATGCACTCTGGGGGAGGGGGCGTGAAATTGTCCCTGCTTAAGAACACTGAGCTAGAATTCTGTGAAAGGCCAAGTCCTAAGATCCCTTGCCAAGCGACTTTGCAAATTTGCTGAGTTGCAATATTTCAGTGCCAGGCATCGGCATTTTTTTTTTTTTAAGATGTTATTTATTTGACAGAGAGAGACACAGTGAGAGAGTGAACACAAGCAGGGGGAGTGGGAGAGGGAGAAGCAGGCTTCCCGCAGAGCAGGGAGCCCGATGCGGGGCTCGATCCCAGGACCCTGGGATCATGACCTGAGCCAAAGGTAGACGCTTAACGACTGAGCCACCCAGGTGCCCCGGGCATCAGCATCACTAACCATTCCCACTAAAGACAGCTCTGACAGTATGTTCCAGGCCCTGGGAATTTTCACCAGGTTTCCAGGGGAGGTCCTGTGACAGGACAGAAGACAGCAGGGACTCACCGGTCATGCGTGGAGAAGCTGCTGCTGTACCTGGTATCTTTGGCATACTTGATCACCAAGCACTTGTACTGGGCAATCTGGAAGCGACGGACCCGTCTCATCAGCTCAGTACTGCAAGAGCAGAGCACTCTGTGAGGCCCACGGTATAAAGAGTGGGCAAGGAAGACCCCCTCGGCACAAGCAGGGCACCCCACCACCTTCTAGGGGTCTACAGCCTGAGACCCACCAATGGACAGAAAGACCAGTGAGGACAGAGGGCCCATGCTCTGGGAGTTCACAATCTAGGCCTGAGAGGGATGCCATCGAGAGCTTTAAGTCACTAGAGAGCCTGGGAATAACAGAATGATAAAGGTGTGCTGGACCGGAAGTGTTCTCCTTGGGGAGGGCGGCAAGGAATGACCCCCAGCTGGTCCAGGGATGGGATGAAGGAATAAGTATCTCAGGGATCTGGTGGGGTGGGCAGAGGCAAAGGCCCCAGATTGCATTCCAAAGTAGTCTCATCCCAGAGGCCTTCACATAGTCTGAATTGACTTCACTAAATCTTTTTGTGCAAGAGAAAAAGCACTTTGCCTCTGGGTCTCAGAGCCCACCTTAGCCTCACCACGGAGGGCAACAGGTTTGCACTGGAGTGATCCCCCCGGGCGGAGGGCGTTACTTAGGGGGCTCACTAGCCCTGCCTAGGTCAGATGATGGTCCTGTCACATCAGGGGAGCAAAGGTGCCCTGGTCTGACTCTTTAGTGTGTAAAGTACCGGAGGAAACAGTCACACCAGAAGGAGGGGTGCCCACACTGTAGGGTGAACAGGCTTTCGTGAGAGGCTAAACCCTCAGCAGCTGTATCCAGCCGCAGGAAGGAGCGGTGGCGAACGACCCTAATGGACGGGTCTGAGCTGGGCGGGCAGTGAAGGAGCGCCTGCTCCAGGACCAGATCCCAGGGAGGAGCAGCATCCCGGGCGGGAACGCGCCGTCCGGCAGTGGGGGCTGTCCTGGGGGTGCTGTCTGAGAGGGGCGGCAGGCAGGCCCCGGAGGGGCGTCAGGGGAGGAGGACGGGCCCCCCGGAGGGTAGGGATGGGGGAGAAGGTGGTCCCCGCGAGGCCATGACTTACTTACCTTTTTCCTGAAAACATGGGTCCTAGAATCACCTAGGAGAGAAGGCGAGGTCACTTCGGGGCCCGCTGCGCACGGACGCCCGGCCATGGCCACAACCACAACCCCGACCCCGCTCCCACTCCCGAGTGCTGGGAGCCAGTCCCCGCGCCGGCACCTGAATCTGCCCCCGGGTCTTGCTGGGGGAGCCGGGCAGCACGGTGGGCAGGTTGATGCAGCTCATGGCGCCTCCAGGAAGCTTGCAGCTCAGGGACTCTCCGGTGCCACCGCCCAGCCACCAGGCGCCGGTTCCCGCGCGGTCCGCATTTATACCCAGCGCACTGGCCAATCGGGAGCCGGCGCTGGCGCCCCGGAGCCAATCAGCGCGCGGCCGCGGACTGGCGGGAGACTTGACCGCAGCCCGCCCCTAGTGGGCGGCCCCAGGGACCCGGCCGGCTCGCGTCACCAGGACGACTGGCCCCGCCCCGGCCGCTGCGTATAAAAAGCCGGGGCGCGCCTTCGGGCCCTACACTGTGGGACGATGGAGGTCCCCGGCCGAGGTCCCCCAGGCGAGGCTCCCTGGAAGAAGCTATCTAAGGAGGTAGGCGGGTTGCAGGGGGCGGCTGGGGCCGAGCAGTGCAGCGCGGAGATTAGATGCAGTTCCAAGAGGGGCGCTTAGGAGCCCACGGACCGACCACTCTCCAGGGCGCCGTTGAGCACCTGTGTGCCTGCTCCGAAAGCTTTAGCACCCTGATCTAATTTGCTTCCTGCCACAGGCAGGCTTCGGTGAGCCTGGTTTTAAGGGTAGAGAAAACCGAAGCTGTGCTAATATCCATAAAGGGGGGCCACAGTTCCCGACCTTGACCTGAGGTTCCACAATTCGGATGGAGGATGTGCCAGATGGTGAGGATGCAGAAAGGCTGCTCTTTACTGCACCGTGGTCGTGAGGGCTAGAAACCACACAGGCAAAGCCCTTAATATGATTATCACTCAACTATAATTTCCTAACTAGTTTCCCTGCATTTCAGTTTGTTTGTTTGTTTGTTTGTTTTTTCTGAGATTCTCAGATACATCTGAGATACATCTGAGAATCTGATAAGTTACGCATACTGCCCCCAAGAAATCCCATTCTCTGTCTCTGTCACACACACACACATGCCAGCAATACCAGAGGACTCTCAGAAACCCATTGCATTATTGTAATCATACGTAACAACAGTGAAGATGATGATCAAACTCACAGTGTGTGTCAGGGACGGTTGTAAAGGCCCTACAGGGCCCGATTGTACAGATCTAAAGAATACTGGCCAAGAATCTCGTTCAACTGGAGGAGGCAGTAACCCACACTTGAATGGTTAGTTTTACTTCATTTACATGCCTTATGTCCTTCAACCTTGTGAGGCTACTATTACGCTCATTGTAGAGAGGTCTGAGACCCAGAGAGTGTAAGTGAGTTGCCCAGAGTAAAACAGCCTATAAGTGTTGGAGCTTGGATGGCACTCAACCCATCTGACTCCAGAGTCCAAAACCCTTCCATGAAGCCACCCCGTCTTCAAATTTCCCATTTTAGACTTCACTCTTTCTCCTTGCCTTTGAGCTCTTTCTCCAAAATCTGGTTCCTTGTTGTTCTCTGCATTAAGTCTGAGCGTCTTAGCCTGACATCTGAGGCCCTGTCCCCCAGCCCCAGCTTCCCGGCCTCACCTCTGTGTCTCAGCAGTCTGGCCCATCAGCATTTCCAAACTGATCTTTGATCTTCCTCCCTCCTGACCTCTGTTTCTTTGCTGTGACTCCTGCAATCGGAATCCTGCCCCCTCAGGGGCGCCTGGGTGGCTCATTCAGTTGAGCGTCCAACTCTTGTTTTCAGCTCAGGTCATGATCTCAAGGTTGTGGGCTCGAGCCTCGTGTCCAGCTGTACACTGACTGGGGGATCTGCTCAGGATTCTCTCCCACTCCCGCTGCCCCGCCCCCTGCTTGTATACTCTCTTGCTCTCTCTCTCTCTCAAAATAAATGAATAAATTCTTAAAAAAAAAAGGAATCATACCCACTCGGAGAAGATCAGCTCCATGTCACTTTCTCTGCAGTGCCCCCCCCCCAACTCCCTGGCCTCCAGTAGTAGGAGGGGTGCCCACAAGTGGCATTAACCAGGACACATTTATGGCACCTCATCTCCCCTTTAAGGCTGTCCACTAGTTAAAGCATGACCATTGCTCTAGACCACGAGTCTGAGAGCACCCGCTGTGTTGTATTTGAAGTACCTAATTAATTGGTGTGGGGGGAGAATGGGGTGCGGGTGACCAGGCTGGAGACTGGAGGGGCTTAAAGGAAGCTGAGGGCATCTGTGGAGCCTGAGATATTGGGGAGGGAGCTTCTCAAGGCAGAGAGGAGCATCCAGACATTTGGAGGGGTGGGGGCACAGTATGGAGAACAAAGGTCTTACGCAGCCTTCTGCCTGTGTTCCGTAGGAGTTGGAGAATCAGTACAGCCCCAGCAGATGGGTCATCCGACAGGGAGCCGAGGAGACCCTGAGGACCTACTCACACATAGGAGACGAGGGTACTGGGGGCCCTCTCCATGGCTGCCATGGGTGGACTTTAGCAGGTGGCAGTGGTTCAGAATGCTGGGGGCAGGAGGAGGCTCTCAGGGCGATTCCCAAAGTCCAGGCACTGTGCAAGCCTCGTTGGCTCAGGGCCAGGCACCCAGGAGCCCTCGCCGCAGGATGGCTGGAGGCAGGAAACGCCCCACAGACCGTGATCCACCTCCTCTCCTGCTCAGCCAACTATGCCCAGGCCCATTAGGCAATGTACCACAGTGTCACAGTGAGGTGGAATGAAAAACAGGAAGGCCTCCCCCTTGGCCGCTGAACATTCAATGTGGACGCTATTTGTAAGAAGCAAAGAAGACTTTGTTTCTTTCAAGAAATCAGGGCTTGGGAACCTGTAAGCTAGTGGAGAAGTCTCAAGGTGAATTCCCATTTCTATCCCGTATCGCCAGAGTGTCATACCACGATCTTAACACTCAGTGAGGTATTTGTGCTGGATTGGGGAAGGAGGCTCCTTGGAGGAAGTGTGAGAAAGCAGCCAGCCCACTCCCCTCAGCAGGGAAAATTGGATGTTGGCAAATCTTCATTTCAGCAGACTGAACAGAGCTCTCAGAGTTGGTTCTCTAAACTGAGATAACCCAGGGGCGCCTGGGTGGCTCAGTTGGTGAAGCGACTGCCTTCGGCTCAGGTCATGATCCTGGAGTCCCTGGATCGAGTCCCACATCGGGCTCCCTGCTCGGCAGGGAGTCTGCTTCTCCCTCTGACCCTCCCCCCTCTCATGTGCTCTCTCTCATTCTCTCTCCCTCAAATAAATAAATAAAATCTTTAAAAAAAAAAAAAAAACAATAAACTGAGATAACCCAGCTGGAGGAACAGGCTCATGGGAGTTCATTCCAGCACATACCGGCATCCTCCCTGTCCCAAGAGAGGTGGAGTGGAGTTGTGTCCTGGGCTCTTCAGAGTCCTCTGCTGGGCCCAGCCCTGTGCCAAATACATGGCTTTCTGGTCAATAAATTTGAGTGTGCAGTGAAACCTGCATGAGCTTGTAGAAAACCTATTTTTTAAAAAGATTTTATCCATTTATTTGAGAGAGAGAGCGAGAGACAGCATGAGCAGGGGGAGGGGCAGAGGCAGAGGGAGAAGCAGGCTCTCCGCGAAGCAGGGAGCCCGATGCGGGGCTCAATCCCAGGACCCTGTGATCACCACCCGAGCTGAAGGCAGACACCCAACTGACTGAGCCGCCCAGGTGCCCCAAAAACCTATTTGTCTATCTTAATTGTCTTGAGGGAGAGAAGAGCTGTCCCCATTGAGAAAGTGAGTCACTCATAAGGGGCAAGAGCTAAGAAGAGCGTGCTGCCCATTGCCCTCAGAGCCCCCCATTAGTGATTGCTCTCATATCGTGGACAGCTTTAAGCTCACATTCCACTAGCCTTCCTGTTTTCAGTGCTGCAGTTGGCCCAGAGGAGCTGCAAGTGCCATTGACCCATTTCATGGATGCAGAACATGAGGTGCCACTGACCCATTTCATGGATGCAGAACATGAGCCCAATAGCAGGGGGCCATTAGGGCCAGGTGAATGCACAAGAGCCATGTCCATGCAGGGCTGGAGTCTGTCTCTATTTAAAATGTTGACATTTTTTTGTTTTTTTTTTTTTTAAGATTTTATTTATTTATTTGACAGAGAGAGACAGCGAGAGAGGGAACACAAGCAGGGGGAGTGGGAGAGGGAGAACAGGCTTCCCGCTGAGCAGGGAGCCAGATGTGGGGCTCAATCTCAGGACCCTGGGTTCATGACCTGAGCCAAAGGCAGATGCTTAACGACTGAGCTGCTCAGGTGCCCCTAAAATGTTGACATTTTGGTGGCCATGGACATTTAGCATTACTTTTGATTTAAAATATGTTCATATTGGGGCACTTGGGTGGCTCAGTCATTAAGCGTCTGCCTTTGGCTCAGGTCATGATCTCAGGGCCCATGGGATCTAGCCCCGCATTGGGCTCCCTGCTCAACGGGAAGCCTGCTTCTCACTCTCCCACTCCCCCTGCTTGCGTTTTCTCTCTTGCTGTCTCTCTCTCTCTGTCAAATAAATAAATAAAATCTTTTAAAAAATAAAATAAAATATGTGTGTATATATATTGCATTTAAATATTATTTCTCTTTGGGGCACCTGGGTGTCTCAGTCAGTTGAGTGTCCAACCAAGATCAGGTCTTGATCTCAGGGTCCTGGGTTCAGGCTCCACATTGGGCTCCATCCTGGACGTATAGCCTACCTTAAAAAACCTTTTTTTTTTTAAATAAAATATTATTTATCTTTGTATTGGTCAGCTTGGTCTGCCATAACAAAAGGCTTCAACAATAAGAATCTATTTCTCACAGTTCTGGAGGCTGGGAAGTCCAAGACCAAGGTGCTGGCCCGTTTGGTTCCCTGGTGAGAGTCCTCTTCCTGGCTTGCAGACTGCTGCCTTGTCCATGTGTCCTCACGTGGCAGAGAGAGAGGGAGAGAGAGAGGGAGAGCCCTGGTCTTTGTTCCTCTTCATATAAGGCCGCTAATCCCACGACAGGGGCTCCATCCTCATGACCCCATCCAAACCTAATTACCTCCCAAATAGTCTCCTGCCAAGCCAGAAAGCCTCTCCCCAAAGGACAGAGAGAGAAAGAAGATGTGCTATTATGGAATAAGGGTTAAGCCAAACTGTGACATACACCACAGGCAAGCCACTAAAGACACCAGAAAGAAACGTCACCCTTTTAGACAGGCAGGCAGATACACCGCATCACAGAACAGATAAACCTGTTCTCAAGATAAATGGTACCTATGCTCAAGCAAGAGAGCCCGACAGCGCCACACTGGTTCTTCCACAGTCCACCTGGCAATTAGGGTGGCCACCTGTGCTTGCGAGTTGCCTTTCTCCAGAGGAAAAAGAAAACTTCTCATCTCTTCACGACAAGAGGTCGTTTTGTAACTTGGGAGCCAGGCACCTGCAGAAGTTAGGCTCCTGCCCTCCCATGGAATCTGGGGGTAGGGGTCCTGGCTTCCTTGATGACTACATTTCAAAGAGATGGCTCCCCCAGTCCTGGAGGGAAACATTCCTAGGTTGTATAACTGGCAAGAGACTCCTTTAGCTTTTAAAAATATTTACATACACCTCAAAGGGGTAGAGAAAGGATTTACAATGAGTTTCCCAAAATAAATGCTCTAAGAAAAGGGAGGGAGGAAGCTCTCTTTTCCTTTTCTGAGCCAGGGAGACTTCAAAAAAAAAAAAAATGTTTTTCTTACTTTTGATTTATATTCACCCTTACAGCCATTGACCTATTAACCTGCAGTGAGGGATGTTCTGCTCTAAGGAGTAGATGACCTTTATCTGCCATGAAGACCTGGCCTTGCTAAGGTTGGGCGCACAGAGACTGCTGAGTAAGCATGGGCAGAGAGCAGAGAGGGGCTGGGAGGGTCAGATTTTCAGAACTATTTCCTCTATCAGTTTTAAACTTGTTTTACCAAGACTCTTAGGACTGATACATCGTACACTAAATGAAGGCTGGGTGGATGCATGGATGGATGAATAGGTAGGTAGGTAGGTAGGTAGAGATGTGCTGAACCGCTGTCTGAGCTCCCTGCCTCTGTGAGCTTCCTGCAGCAGTGTCCCCCAAACCACGTCCACCAGTGAGGTGGGTGGAGCATCGTCCCCCAAACCACGTCCACCAGTGAGGTGGGTGGAGCCTCGTGACTGACAGCCTCTGGTAAGGACCAGATCTCCGAGGGCCCCTCCTTTCTTCGCAGGCTCCGATCTTGGGCTTTTTTCTCTCCACCAGAAAAGTGAAAGGAAGAATACAAAGGCACAAAAGATACAAGCCCCGATTTTGTTTGACTGTGCTACAGGACGCGTGACATAAAATGTACCACTTTAACCATCTTAAAGTGCACAATTCGGTAGCATCTAGAATGTTCACGATTCGGGCAACCACCTACCTCTGCCTAGTTCCAAATCATTTTCCTTATCCCAGAAGGAGACCTCCTACCATTAAGCAGTCATTCTCTATTTCTCCCCTCCAGCTGTTTTCTGTCTCTATGGATTTACCTATTCTGGACATTTCGTATGAATGGAATCATACATGTGTGGCCTTTTGCATCTGGCTTCTTCTCCTTGGCTTAATGTTTGAAGGTCCATCCCTGTTGTATAATTCCTCTGGCTACTTCATGTCTTCATCGTGTGGACATGCCACCTTTTGTTTATCCATTCATTCACTGACAGACATTTGGGCTGTTTCCACCGTTTGGCAATTGTAAATAGGGCTGCTATGGACATTGGAGTACAAGTTTTTGTTTGAAAGCCCCGATTTCTTATTTAGTCCAATAGACAAAGCCGTTCTACGAAACTGCATATATTCTAAATGCTTACTTTTGCTTTGCATACTTAGCTCATCAAGGACCAGTAGCAAACAGGCTGGGGCTCCCAGTACCCACACAGCCCACTTTAAGTAGCTCTGCTCTGAACCATCGTGGCTGTTTTTAGGTAACAATTGTTATCTTATTACAAAAGGAGCATATTCCTACTAAAAGGGATTTTAAAAATAAAACCATCCATGATTCCACCACCTATTGTTAACTAGAGGGTGGCTGATGGGACCCTGCCTTCTCTTGAACTGCGGCCACGGCATGTAATAAACCCTTGGTCTTCGGCCTTCTGGGACTGTCTGGTCTCCCTGCCCCGTGCTTGCATAAGTCTCTAGGGGCTCTGGTCACCACTTCCCCTAATTCCCCTGACACATGCTCGGGATGGGTCCACGGACTTGGTGTTTCTGTCTGTAACAGTTTGGACACTTTCAGTTGCAAATAATAGAAACTCAATTTTTGCATTATCAAAAAAGGAAGTTTTAGTACAGTTGATTCATTGAAGCCCTCCTGTGGTTCCTGTCTCGGGGGTTCAGGGACTGGGGGGCTGGTGGCATGCACACTTGGGGGGAGGCTGCAGCCCCTGCCCCCAGCTACCCACCATCAACCACTGGGCCGACTCCTGC